CCAATCCAGCTCCTTTGCATCGGGATACTCCCTTTGCATAGCATGGGTATTCATTTTTTAGCGAATCACTATTCGTTGGGTTGTCAAACATACTAAGGTAGTAAAGTCTACCAGAATATAACCGGCTACTGAGAAATCTTCCAGTGCAGAGGAGGTCGGTTGTGGATCAGCCAACCCACCAACCAGGCTCCAGGCCTACGCAGAAGACCGAGAAGAGCAACAACCATCTACAGGCTGTTCTTGTCAAAGTTCACCACTTGAAGGAATTCAGTCAGGAAGGAAAACTCATGTCAGACTGCAGGAAACTCAGGGTGTCAATTTAGCCATCCCCTGCCCCATGGCCCAAGGGGCAATATTTTGCCGATAGAATACACCATTGTTGGAAAATTTCGAAGTATATGGTTTCCGTTCCTGTTTGACAAGCTGAATCCGGAACCAACGCGGTTTCAGTGTTCTGTCTTGCGAGCAGCCCATAGCTTGACGACATAAGCCATCTCATTGAACTTGTTCGTATAGCTGTCAGCGGTTCTTTCGGAAGGGGAAAACTATATAGGTTCTCCGTGGTCGCTCGCCCAAAGATCGGAGTTGTTGGATACTTAAGGAGTCGGTGAGCCAATGACAAGGCAGACCTCCGGATTGTGGATTTTCTCATGGTGGACAAGATGTTAGCTTTAGACCAACGCCAAGGTCATCAAAGTAAACTTCCATAGGCTGACGGTCAACCATTAGTGGGCAATGAGGAAAAGCTCAAGAGACAGACTGGATGCTTTTATATCATAACTCAACCGCCCATCAAGCTACCATCATCATCATCAAAGACAGCAACATCAGTGTTGGCACTGGTGCTTCACTGCCGTACGACCATAAGGTTCGTCTAGTAACATATATACATATATATACGATTGTATTAAAGGCCGTAGAGTTAATATAAGGGAAAAAGAGTGAGGGAGGGAGGGTACCTATTGCTGGCCTATCTCAAGCATTCTCAGGTGCCTGCCCCTTCAACTGCTCAATCAGATAATCTGGAAAGAAACCGACAGCACGAACGCCACTGAATCGATTAGCCGCCATTTCTTGCGACGTCTCCAGCCAAGCACAGACAGGGTCACGGGGACCCCATCCTGGAAGGCGTACAATCCCAACAACACCCAAACTCTTCGTGATCTCTTTCACGCCCTTCTTCCAAGCCATGCGCTGTCCATCTCGCGTTTCGCGCCATCCTGAAGAAGGCACGGAGAATAACACTCGTCTCGGTAGACGGTGTTTCGGCATGCGTAGCACATGACCGAACCATCTTAGGTGATGGTGTTTGCCGGATTGAAGTACGTGCAGCACAACCAAATACCTGATTTCTAATCATCTCGTTACTAACGCGCTGGCGCCATCCAAAACCAGCCAGGCTTTTGAGGCATCGGTGGTCGAAAAATCGAAGACGCTTCACATCATCTGCCAGCAGAGGCCATGTCTCGCTTCCATACAACAACACAGCCCTTACTGTAGCCTGGTACACACGACCCTTAAGATCCAGTGAGATGCCTTTTTGACGCCACAAGT